CGGTATCCTGGGTGTTGCTGTCCCAGCTGTGAGGGTGCCCCTTGCTTTCAAGAGCAGAAAGAGAAGTGGACTTGTGTAGAAATTGTCCACATGAAGATGATGATTTGAGTGGTGCAGATCTTCTGCCAGGTTTTTCTAAATTGCCAGCATCCCATTCATCCTTTCCAGCACACATGGTGAAATTGTTGCACTAGCCATTCTTTGCATTGCACGACTGAAAGAGTTTACACACATATATACACATACATACATCTATTGAAGCTCCCCACAGGGGCCCTTCAGCCACAATGTAGAAGGTAGTCATTAATTAACTACTTGCAATAGTATCAACATGGACATAAAACTAGAATAAATAATGAGAACTAAAAATTTATATAGAGTTGTAAGGATGAAATCATATAATTCTTTAAATAGTATGTTTATACCTTATATTTCATGCCAGACTTAATGGGTTTCTTGGGAATTCCTACTTTTATAGGCGACTTACCTCTCTTTAAGCATTTGTTTCTGCTGTGCTATTTTGCCAACATATGAGGTTTCAAAGGTGTGACTTTCACTGCATTGTCTTCAATGTTTTGGGCACATGGCACAGACTTTCCTTACGCCCTGCAAGTTTCCCCGATTCTTCTCCTTGTTTCAGATCCGCTCAAATGTGTTGGCATTGAAGATGTTCATCAGCTCGTCGAACGACTGGAAGATTTTGCGGATGTCCGTGTTTCTGGGTACTTTCTTGAAGTCTTTCAAGGCACGTTTGATGATGGCTGTTTCCTCCTCGCTCCACTCCCATCTCCGGGGTCGCTACCTCCTACTGATGATGTTCCTGGTGGCTTCGACAACACGTACCTAGCAGTGCGGTGGTGTGCACTCTCTTCTGGTAGCTCATAGGAGTCCTTAGTCGGTTGTCGCTTTTTTTTTATTTTTTTGTCATCCAACTCTGAGGTTTTTGAGCGTTTCATCTGCCCTAAGCACTTTCTTTACCCGGAGCTTCCCCAGAGAGCACTGAGTTTCGATATCTGATTTGAAATCCTCACACACCTGCGTTAGTTCCTCTGCAGAGATAGCAGTTTTCTTGGAGGGGGTTTTAAAGTCGGATCTGGGCTCTTCCACTGTACTGGGCTCTTCCACTGTACTGGGCTCTTCCAAACATTTTCAAACCCCTGGGTTTGCAAATAAATATGAATGTGAAGCTTGCTTAAGTTTTGTCAAATTCCTCATTTTAAAAGACAATTTTTTTCATTCCTCATCCTGATTTGCTCTTTGATGTAGTTTCTAAAGAAACTAGGTTGCCACTCTTTGGTTTTGAGGTTTGCTGTTAAGAAATAGAAAACCCATCCTGTTTTATTCAAACCTCCTAGTTCCTGATGAAAAATCACCAAGATTNTCCAAATGATCTTCCTTGGTTTTAACTTTTTTGGGTGGTGGAGGCTCGCAACCTTCAACAAATTTCCACATATTTGTCTGCATTCTGTTTTCACATCTAGGCGAAAAGTATGTTCGAAAAGCGAAAACATGTGTTTCGAAACCATCCCGCACGGAAGTCTGGGGGAGAGTCACGTGGCAATTCCAAAATGGCGCCTTGAATGTGGATCGCTCGTGAAAACACCCGGGTGAAAACGGCTCGGAATTTCCACTTCAAAACTAAAAATTTACTAAAATGGACGATGTTAGAGTCCAGGCAAAAAACGAAAAGAAAGGTAGTCCGATTAAACTACATATTGGGTTTTATTTTTAACATTGTACTTCTCATAATTTACATTGCATTACAGCTTTTCGAGATTGTACATGTAGTCGCCCATCGGGCGATCAAACTTAAACTTTTGGTCGCCCTAGTCAGTTTTAACTCGCCACTGGCGACCGTGCGACCGTCAATTTTTAGCCCTGTTTTAAATTATAAGTCACATGACCCGATTTTCCCACCGCGCGTAGTCGAGGCGAATTTGTAATTACGATAATTAATTCTACTTCTTCGCGCTCCACTGAACATGCAAATCAAACCTTGAACCAACGGCAGTGATTAAACAATTGAAATTGCAATTTTGAATTTGCGCATGTACTCAACATTCGTTTTGAAAAGTAATCGTTCAAGTTTAAGAAAGGTATGCAGATAAAAAAAAAAAGGGGGAACGGGAACATAAATTACACATACAATTAGGTGTACCTTTTGCAAGTGGCGCTTCAAATTCCGCCCAGAGTAACCCCCGCAACCAGGTACCAAGCAGGTCTTGTCGGGTTTCCTTGGTTTTGGATTGATGGTCTCTTGGCGGGTGCAGGAGAGGGCACTTCCTCCTCATCGGTGTCTGTCTCGGGCAGGTCTCGGCTGATCTCGCCTGGTTCACCTAAGGACAGCTGCTGGGGTCTCCCCAACCGAAGTTTGCCCTCCGAATCCGAGGAATCGGGTGTGGCGGTCTCCTGAGTCGGTTAAGAAGGGTTTACATTAGTCAAGAGCATTTAAGTTCAGGGAGTTACAGCAGTTCCCATGATAGCACCCCCTTTGGTGTCTGCCATCTTAGATTTTTTGCCCAAGGGGTAGCATGGCAATTTTGGTCAAAATTTTTAATTTCTCTGAAACTCCTGCTATAGGATCATTGATCTCCAGAACGAGTCTCTAGCGCCTTAACCCTAAAACCAGCAAATGGACCATATGGTCCGTCGACATGTATACATGGTATTGGAAGTAAGAATAATTGTTAAAATGTCTTTAAAACTGTTTCTACAACTTAAACATCATTGTAAAGGAAATCTTAATTTAATTTGAAGTAGAAAAAGCTTTTAAAATACATCAGTTAGGCAGTTGTGTGCCACAGTTCAAAACACTCAATAGTCAGAGGAACATTGCACTTTCCACAGTAAATACGGCCACGGCTTCCACAGCCACAAGCACAGTAACCTCTTTGTTCTCTTTTCTTAGGCCAATGTTCTGCCTTGTCAAACCTTGGTCCTGGGAGTCCAGAGGGCCTCCCAACTTTCTTTCTTCCTGTAAATTTTCCACACAGAGAGACCACAAGCTCATCTCTGAACACCTTCTGCTTTCTTGAGTTATGATCTCCCCTGAGAAAACACTCACAAATCCATGCATTGACAATTGCCATGTCCAACATCTGCATAAACACAGGCATCCACCATTTACTAGACTTCCTAGAACATTTGTAATATGACAGATGTTGATCATTTGTATCCACTCCTCCCATGTACTTGCGGTAGTCCACCACGACTGAGGGACACTGCTTGATAACACCTTCCACATGACCTTTCTCTTTTCTCCTGACATCTTCTACCCCTGGCTTTGCCATAGTAGACAGCACATATACATCCTTTGTATCCTTCCACTTCAGTGCAAAAAATCTTGGTTCTTTCATCATCCACTTACTCTCTCCAGTTTTGAGTCTGGCCATGTGAAGTTGATGAGGAAACCCCACCCGGTTTGGTCTGGTCGTCCCAGTACAAAAGATTCCTTGCTCAAGAAGTGAACTGGCTAATGACAAACTTGTATAAAAGTTATCAAAGTACAGCTTCCAGGGAATACCCCTTGGAAGAGAAGTACAAAGATCAAGGACAACTTTCTCTCCAAGATTTGCTCCTGGATTATCAGTTTTTCCAGTATAAATTTTGAAGTGGAGAAGGTAGGCCCTAACTGAATCCACTAACTTCCAAACCTTGATACCCCATTTGGTAGGTTTATCTTTCATGTACTGTTTGAACCCAATTCTTCCCTTGAATGGAATCATTCCCTCATCTACACTGTTTTGCTGGTGTGGTGTCCAGTTGTCCTGAAAATTTCTGTTGAGAATATTCAAAACGTTTCGAATCTTATGAATTTTGTCATGACCTGGCTGGCCAGCAGGGATGGCAGAGCCATTGTCAGCACAATGTAAATTATGGAGCAATTCCTCGTACCTTTTCCTCGGGAAAACATGTTTTATGCCATCAACTGAAAGAACTGTACTGTTTGACCAGTAATCATAAAGATCAGGTACTTGTTTCAAGCCCATCCAAATTGTTACTCCCAGAAATGCTCTTATTTCCTCAGCAGAAGTGTCAACCCAATTGACAGCTTCTTTCCCACGTGCATATCGGTTGGTTTCTGTAACCAAAACTTCTATCAAATCCGGTGTAAAAAAGCGATTAAATATATCTCCAGCATTTTGTTCATCGCCAACAACGAAGGTTGGGCCAGGATGTTTTCGAAAAGGAGGGAGGTCTTCCACTTCAAGTTCTTCATCTGACCACAACACAGCTCCGCTTTCATCATGTTCAACCAGTCGATCGATCAACTCTTGTTTTCTGCCTGTTTTTGAAAGATTTCTTCGACCCAACTCTTCTTTGAGTCGCTGAAGTGTCCACTCGTGATAGTTTGATTCTTCTTCCTCATCCGTTTCCTCATTTTCAGGCTGCAGAAGTTCATCAAGCACATTTTCTTCATCACTTTCGTCACTATAGTAAACAGACGCCATTTTGATTCCGGATAGTTGAGGGTAACCTGTGAACTAGTTTCCCCAGTCTCCTGCGTTCATTTCGTGACACAAGAGCTCTTGCAAGCCAAAATTTCGGAAAATTTTTAGGTCAATATAACTGTGTTTAATCTCAGTGCTGAAAAACCCTACAGGGGTATATTTCTTTAAAACCGTTTTTTTAAATATCTACCTCTTGGCTGCCAACAGTGAAAATTTCAAACAAAAATCTTAAAAACTGATTTTTTTACAATTTTTTGAAAATTCCTTGTAAAATGTCTCAAAAAAAACTTGGTGGTTTTAGGGTTAAAAGTGGTTTAGGGTTAGCTCCTCTGCAGAGAAAGCCGTTTTCTTGGAGGGCGTTTCAAAGTCAGGTCTGGGCTCTTCC